CCCCCAAAAAAGGGCATTTCTGATGTTTCGGAGAGGTATTCCTGCATTTGGCATAAGATTGCACAGGTTCAGAGAGATTTTGGAGCACATTTAGTGATGTTTGTGTGTTGTTATTAGATTTTCTCCATATAACTTATGACGAAATAAAAAGTGATTTAAAAACAAACCTCTGCAGCAGTACTGTAGATTACTTAGCATCCCTAAAAACATCTCAGTGCTTTCTTGGTGCTACATTGTAAGTTTATGCACAAAATAGATCTTGTATAGTAAACTGTTCATTGTAACATCATGCAACTTCAGTAATAGCAAGAATGAAATTATTAAATTAGCTGAATATCATTAGATACACTTTTTACTGCCTTTTGTGCGTCAAGAAAGGCAGTTGCTCTGAAACCTTTTCTTCTCGGCTATGCCACATTTCCCCATGTACACATAAAACGCTCATCTCTAAGATTCATTAGTCTAAAGTTTCCTTCCAACACATCTTTTTTTAAAGAAATTAATTTAAATACAGTATTGTGTTTCATCTAGGTAAGATTTTACATCCACATTGAAGAATTTTGCTCAAAGGAAAGGAATAATGAGCATTTTTCTATGCATTCCCCCCCACTCCCCCTTATTTTTGGATGGGGTACCATGTAGAAAGCTGAGGGTTGTTTTTTTTAAAGTGAAAAAAAAAAATCCTTCTGGTTAGAAAAGAATATGAAAAATTGTTTGATTATGTTATCTGGCTGCTGTTTATAAAATACAAACCAAGTTGTTTTCATTTATACTAAGTTATTTATATAAATTACTTGTAGATATACATGACAGTATCCTTGGGCTTCTGAAATTCGATACGACAGGCTCCTACAGAAAGTATTTGTTTGACCTTAGTGTCTGTGACTTAGTAATTATCTTTTTCTTTCAGTACTTGGATTTTAAAGAGCTATCAAAGTATAACTTGTGTGAGGGTTTTTTGTTGGGGGTTTTGTTTGTTTGTTTTTAAAGAAAGCATGTTAGGATCCTTTAGTTTATTCTTGTAGATTTAAAATTACAGCTTTCTTTTTATTCCATGCTTACTTCTTTTTACACTCTGTACGTATTAAAGTGTCTGTTTTTCTTCTTCTCCATTAAGTTACCTTTTTGCAAGACCTATATTCATCAGCATATCCTTGTCCCACTTCGTCCCCATGTACTTCTTCAAATTGAAGCTCTTTTAGGGTAATATTGTGCATCTTGGAAGCGTAGGCTCCTCATCTGTGCTGACAGGCAAACAAAGGATCTCTTAATACTTTTCACACGTGTGCAAACTACAGACATAATCAAATTGAAGAGGAAAATAGAGGTCATTAAATTGATATTACCTATGATTATTTTATCTTGTCACGTCAACCCTCAGCAATTTACCAGGCTTAGGATATTGGGAACCGCAATGGGGCTAATTAACAGGCAGTGTGCTTGTTTACTTTAGAATTTCCAAGTGTCCCATAGGTGACAAAATAAAATCTGATTTTGATATTTTATTAAGTGGTTTGTCAGCCATTATATAATTACTTCTTCTGAAAAAAGCGATCTGAAAATTATGGATATCAGGAAGGTAGAGCCTGTTGATATTTTTTGTGAGGACAATTGCAATGTAAGTCTTGAGGAAAGAGAAACAGATAAAACAGTATTGTGAGACTACAGTGAATGTTGGTTTTCCTACTGTGTACAATTATATGTAATTAGATTTGTCCTTTTTTTGTCTAAAAAATTAATTCTACCTATCTAGGTACGGAATGAGCTTGTAAATAAGATAGCAAGATCAACATAGTCTGAAGAAATAATTAGTAACAATTTAACAGAAATTGTTCTGTTCAGGCTAAATCAATAGTAATGGAGATGAATAAATAGGTGGAAACCTTAAATAATTACAAATCCTTTAAATTATTCTTGAATTAGAAAGCAGGAGAAAAGAACAGATTTAATTACTTTTATAGATGCATGAGAAGAGAACTTTCTGAATTGTCTTTGTTCGTTCTTTTCTAGAATACACTTTTTTAGGCAGCTGGTATTCTGTTTCCTGTAGCTTGTTGGACTTTTTATGCAACTCAGTTAGGTAGGCTAGACATACCAACTCAGGTACTCTGTTTTTTCCCAAAAAATGAGTTACAAACATTAATGGGAAGAAGCAGATTTCTTATGGCGTTAACTAACTTCTGTACTCTGGTTTCAGGCTGCTTATTTTTGGCACAATTCTGATTTTTTGCATCACTCTAAGGAGGAAAGACCATTATTCTTTTTGGTGCTCTGCACAAAAGAGAGGAACTTTTAAGAAATACTAGATTTACCTTTATTTAATGGAAATGTACAACTATGTTTAAATGGGGCATGTAATTTAAAAAAAAAAACAAACTAATAGTCTGCTTTTTTATTCTTAGGCACCACAGAAAGTTCTTTGATGTATGACTATACTGTGTAGATTGTACTTTTTGCATTATTGTTTTTAATTTTAGTTACATAAGTATTTTCTCATGGACTTTTGATACGTATTCCAGTATCTTTAGAAGATCTGATACCTTCACAGCGTTTTTTCTATATTTGTAAACAATGATGTTTCAAAAGAGTTATTAGCTTTATGATGCATCACAAAGAAGAGAAATCCTCAAAGGGCAAAAAGGTGTCAAGATTGACTCTAAAGATACTATCAGATAAATTAAAATCAAGCAGAATAAATTGGAAAGCAGCTAGATGGTACCCTTTGGATCACCATGGAAATGCAAAGGTCAGAGAATTTTAACCTAGGGAGTGCTGCTGAGACTTGGGGAGCTCTCAAAAACCTATCACTGGTATTTTGGTTTTCTTGACCTTGAGAAGCAGCGTTGGAAAGATTCTGCATTAAAGCATTTGCTAATTGACCTAAATGCTTTCTTGGTAGAAACTATTCTGAGTTACTACTGAAGACGACCATTCTCAATCAAAAGCTATGAATGACTGAAGTAAAAGAACAAAAAAGAAACTTTCTCAGTTAGTGTTTTGGATTTATAGACCAATGAGAGATTGAGTCAGTCTTTAAAATAAATGGATGACCTAATTTTGTTTAACCTCTGTCCCTTTAGCTGGAAAGGCAACTACTGATGCAGAACCAGATGAGAGAGAGACAAACAGCCATACAGATTGCTTGGACACGGGAATTTCTCAAATATTTTGGGACATTTTTTGGACTTGCTGCTGTAGGTTTAACAGCTGGGTATGAAGTTTATCTCCTAACAGAAAATACAAATATATTACGTTTATAATTCTATGATGCAGGATCTTCCTTTTGCATTATAACAAGTAGTTATTTTTACCCAGTAACTGCTCAGAGGTTGATCAGATGACAAAGTGACTCTGATTTCTGTCTGCTTCCAGATGTGTTTTGCTTATGTCTGTACTGCAGAGTTACATAAAAGCAGAGACATGTGAGCTGACAATAAAATGATACAGCTAAGGTACCAAAAGTTCAGTGTAAAATAGAAGTTGGGTGTGGAACAGGAGGGATTGTTTAAAAGCGATGCTATTTTTTTGTCTGTGTTGTGATTTAATGAACTATTAATGAGCAACAAATCCTCCACCATTTGGATTTTTTAATATGTCAGTGAACAAGTGGACGTATTCTGAAATCTGTTCACTTAAAATTTGAATCAAGAAACTCACCCAAGGGGCAAAAAACCCTGGCTAATAAAGCTATATTGCATGGGGAAGAACTTGCCTTATAGGACTTTGGTTGGTAACATGTTTTTCCTGTGCTATAACATGATTAGAGGGAATATAGGAAATATTTGTGAGTTTGTGCACATAGCACAGATCAAATGCACCTTATGCATTATGTATTCTCTGTGGACTCAGATGCATTTGGAACTGAACATAATATCCTGATTGCTCCATGTTGTATGTGGCTGGATGGATATATGCATGTGCACATGCATGCTACCTGAGTTAGATAATCCCATTTTTGTTAGATATATTCAAAACTCACTTGAAGCATTTTTTTTTAATATCCTTGCATTGAGAGTTGAGCAAGAAGGCAACCAGAAGACGAATTCTTCTGAGGAAATTAAGACTTGTTTTTGTTTGATTAGAGAGTGTAGAAGGATACACAAGTCCTAGACAGTCAAGGTCAACCTAAACTAACAGTGCCGATGTGCTGAATGTCCTAAATAATCTTATTTCTTCCTTCCTTTTTTTTTTTTTTTTGAACAGGGCAATAAAAAAGAAGAACCCAGGACTTATACTGCCAATAGTTCCCTTAAGCTTTATATTTGCCTATCAATATGATATGGGCTATGGGACACTGTTGCAAAGAATAAAAGGTATGTATATATAAGTCTGTCTGGTTCACACATAGAACTAAGCTTAGTATTTCAGATAACCTCTTATCTTTTTAGAATGGCTGGGAGAAAACTTGCAATAGATTTTCTCTTTTTTTCTGGACAAAAATCTTACTCTTTCATTTCTTTTCTTCTCTGTTACAATCAGATACTTTCCCAGTCAAGAGTACTCACTCTACTTTTACAGACTTTCCCTCCAGTTAAGACTGTTTGTTAATTTCTCCTCTCTTGTTTCAAAAAATGTGAATTCTAAGGCTATAAATACAGCTGAAGTAAGCACTGCATATCTGGGAGAAATGACGGATCTAGTGATTTCCTTCTATATTCCACTCCGATGCTGCTGTTTTGGCAAGAGGTAGGGATGATAAGAGCAA